GTGGTGGTGGTGGTGGTGCTGTTGCCTGTGCTGGTGCTGCAAGCGCCCTAAGAGCCAGGCTAGAACCAGCCAGCCAAGACGATATACGCTAGGGAGCTAGATAATTACCATTCCATTTTGAGGTCCGTTTGAGGTGCAGTGCCCTGTACCACCATAATAAACAAGGAACCCAGGGCCATAATATTGGCCTGCAAACCTCGACACAAGCCCAGTTTCCATTTTCATTTTCTATTTGATTCTCCATTTAAAGCTCCACATCTGACATCTTCCTTGATAGCCCAGTTATTTCGTACATTACATTACATTACGTTGCATTACATACTACAGGACCCTTAACCCTGAACCCTAAACAACATTATTAATATCTAAGCCCCTACATTAATTCCTTCTGCAGGGGCTCCGGCAGGAATAGGCTTCTTCTCCCGCTTTGCCGCCTTCCGGAGCTCCTCAAAGCCCAGAGCCGTACTTGAAGGTTTAGGGTTTAGGATTTAGGATTTATGGTTTAGATAGCCTAGTGTAGGTACTGTTTGTAAGCTTTGGGGCTCAGGTGTAGCTATCATCTATAGACATGGAGCCCCAGGGTAAGGGTCGAGGATTTTGAGTCTGTAGGCTATTTGGGCTTCGGATTTTAGAGTTCCGACTTTAGGCTTTTCGGATTTAGGGCTTTAGACTTTTAGGGTGTTAGGGTTCAGGGTTTTAGGCTTTAGGTTTTTAAGGTTTGGAGTGTCAGGTTATCTAGGGCTTTTAGCGTTTAGGGTGCTAGGGTTTTAGGCTTTCGAGTGTTAGCGTCTAGGCAGGCTGTTGGGGCTTGGGGGTCACGGGGCTTGCAATGGGGACCCGCTGAAGGGATGATAAGGAGATACGGGAACTAAGGGCTTTTCAGGGGATATGGGAGACAAAGGGATTAGGATAGAGGGTTTAGGGTGTAGGGTTTAACATTGAGGGTCTGGGGATTTAGGGTTTAGGGTTTAGGGATTTAGGGTTTATGAGGTGTAGGGTTTAGGGTTGAAGGGCTTAGGGTTTAGGGCTCACAGCTTGGGATTCTCCCATCGCCGGACACATTTCGTTTTTTTTGGGTGGTTAAACCTCGTAAGATAATATTCCTTATATAGAATACTATACCCCAAACGGAGGATAGAATCTTACTCTATATTGGGTACCGTATCCCCAAATAAAATACTACTCATTCCGCGGGTCACTAACCCTCCGGGGCCAGCTCGGTTGGCTACACGATGACACGAAAACAGGCTGGTCCAAGTGAGCTATAATCCAAAATCCTAAACCCCTATAATAAGGCCCCATAATCCTGTATATATCCCCCCTTTAAGGAGTGTAGACCCTAAACCCCATATAACGCCCCTACGAAACCCCTTTTAAAGGATTTAGACCCTAAACCCTCCTAAACTCTGTTCCCTAGGCCCCTAAACCCTGATCCCTAAACCCTTAACCCGAAACCCTATATAACCCCTTTTAAGCAGTTCAGACTATAGCTCAAGTAGCCTCGCCTTGTCCAGCGGGTTTAGGATTTAAGGTTTAGGTCCGAGTTGTGCATCTTCACTCACTAGAATTACTTGACCCACATGAGCTACAGTCGAAACTCCTTGAAAGGGGTTACATAGGGTTCAGGGTTTAGGGTCTACACTCTTTCTAGCGGGTTATATAGGGGACTGTAGATAGGGTTTACGGTTTATGGTCTAAGCTCCTCAAGTGGATTTTATAGGAGGTTATATAGGGGAGTATTATTGGGGTTATTAAGGGGGATGCTAGGAGTTTTCACTATAGCTCACATAGATCCTGGCACCTCCATGAAATGGTTTGGATTCTTGAGTTTGCTAGGGCCCCAGAGTCTTAGGGTCCTCACCTCATTTTTTCCATACTTGAGATGGGGGTGGCGGCCATAATGTCAGCTAGAACCCTAAGCCCTAAACGGGATTTTTGTAGGGTTGTAAGCTCAGATCTAGGTAGTTGCTACGTCCCCTGACTCTCTAAGCAAGGAGAGAGCTCAAGGTTTAGGATATATAAGGTATGCAGGGAATGTTTATTATACAGGGTCATATAGGGTCCTATAGGGATCATCATCTACTCACTCCCAAAAACTGCATAATTCTGTTAACTTCCAAACGCGTCCATCCAACTGTATGAAACATACGAGTGGAATAGCCATAAGGCGTGCGCCCCATGAGCCCGTCTGCGGATATAGTTTTCTTATAGAGATCCACATGTAGTTTCTTAGATGTTTCGGGCGCCTCCTGCCCCGTCAAAATGAAACACTTTGCAAAGGTCTCAACCTGCTTGCGGAGCTCTTCATCCAGGTGCCAGATGTTTGGGTCGAAAAAAGCACGATTGTGGCCATACATCTCGGATAAATGTAGTGAGTACCTCAGTGTATCAGGTAACTGTACAAGATGTCTACTAGTATGCGTTGTGTTAATAACATACTACATCACTGGCAGCCATACACGACCGGTGCAGTTACTCAAGTCATCGTCCAAGCTACAAGCTTTGGCCAACTCCTCCCGGCGAGATGCCGATAAAGCACCGGTCAACATTGAATCCTCTTTTAGCAATGGCAGTAGCCGACTGGAAACAGCGGAGCACGTCCATATTACACCAGAATGTGCGCTCGTAGAAGAGCTACAAGCGCTGTTTGTTAGCTTCAAGTACTGGATCCAATAGTGGATGAGGAATTCGAATGTAGCAGTTGTTCTCGGGACCCTTTTTTACGACCTTCACTGGGCTTGCCGAATCGGGCTGGTCGTACGCAATCGCAAAGCATATATCGTTGTAACACAGGCATGAGGATCGCATGTCCTCTGTCTCACACCACTCCACAAGCAGCGAGACCATCCGTGTTTGCATGAGTTCATGCCTGATATTGCATGACAGTTTCCAAGATCTCTCGGCCATGTTCATGGTCCACGGCTCCGCCACCTTGGCTTGCTTGCTTCCGTGACGCAGGTCCCCCTGCTCCTCCTCGTCCTCCTCAGTATCAAGTCGAAGAGGATAAGCAGGATTTCTGTTCCTGTTGCTTGTTGCTTCACGCAGGGCTAGCATAAATTCATCTTCCGAAGTAAAGCTCTGCAGGTCTGCCACCACAGCTTTAGCAATGGAGTCTGCTTTCTTCGATGTTTCAGGCTTCATGCGCCTACATATTCCCTCCAGAGAAGTGAAGAAAGAATGGACACGTTGCAAAACCGCTTCAGGGGAATACCGTTGAAGGGCAAGAAACAGCCATCGTCATCGTAAATGTACATGAAGCCCTTGTGTACTCTGTCATCCAGGTTACAGCAGCTGAGTCCGCCAGCATGAGCTTGTCTCCAATCACTCCCTCAGTCATGTGCGTTGCAACCAATATAAGTCGCGCAAGTTCCTCTGAGAGAAAAGGATAAGATGTTCGAATTGCTGAAAGCAGTCTCTTCGTGTTATGCAGAATTGTGTTGGGTCGAAGGCAGGCGTCAGGCTTGTAGACATCCAAAGTTGATCGAAGGATTTCATCAGAACGCTGTAGCATTCGACGGAAGTCCATGGAATGTGTACTTGCCCCTGCAAAATGTCTTCGCTTAACAGCGGGTTCTGGTACCTCTTGCTCTTCCACATCGAGGAGTTCATCTAACTGGGCCTGGATATCGCTCTGTATACTGTCCCGAGATATTTGGGATGCTCCCACAACTTTGAAAGGTTGTGTATCGGCCAATCTGGGATCAGCCGGCAGCTGTGCAAGCTTCATTGCCTGGAGTACATCCCTCCTGCTCTGCATCAAGGCTGTTACATGATCTTGTAGATCCGGAACATCATCCACGAAGCCATCTGGCAAATGGCGTGGGTGCACACACACCACTTTCATGGCAGCAACCCGAACACCATAATATTTTTCCAGTATCCAGCGATAAATATTTAGCTGCAGTCTGTAATGTTCTCCTTGACAGTCTGAAAGTTGATGTAAGGGAGGTCCCATGTACTTTCTGTATGCTTGATACTTGTCCTGCAGTTTCTCGCTACGCTTCCAGTCAACCAAATACAGCATGTCGCTAACAGGATCGCGCAGCACAAGATCTATAGATCCCGCTAGATCCTCATCTGTAGCGTAGATACAAAGTAGCTACATCAATATGCGTACAAACCTATGTAGAACATCAAGTGTTGCACATATACGTGTAATATACGTTATTATGCTGCGAAATACTTTAAAATATTTGTGATAAGTAGCGAACAAGATTCTGACTTGTACGGGCGTAACAATATAATATGGAAGAAGTAGCAGTACATTTACAACATATACTTATTAAATATCAACAATTATATAGTTTTCCATACATTTATTCGGGTATTATGTATTATCATCATCTCGTTATATAGCCAAACACAGTGAGTCCTTGCTGCTTCATTTGTACGTTCCAAGTACTTGTATTCACATAGTACATGTCATCTCATGTAGGTGAGACATTATTGTGCGCAATGTGGTAGGACTGAGTCCGTCGCGTTGGCGATGCCGAAGATACATATATATATATATCTCTCTCTCTCTCTCTCTCTATGTATAGGGTTACATAGGGTGTATGATTTAGCTTTCAGGCTTTAGAGTTCAAAGCTTTCGGAAGAAGGCACAGGACTTGCATTTATGGCTTGAAGTGCGAGGGTAGCCCCTAGGTGCGGCATTCAGGGTTTAGGTTAAAGGGCCTTTTAAAAGTCTTGATTTTGAGAGGCTTGGGGGCTTCAGAGAGCATGGTCTGGAGGGTCCAGGTTTCAAGGCCTTGTTGAAGGATTGCAGGTTGAGGGTGATTGGGGGTTCAGGGTGCTTGGGCACCCGGCAAAGGGGTACTATTCCACGAAACCCTATAAAACACTGAACCCTAATCCCCAAATCCTACAAGATAAACCCCTGCGAACTAGCGTTTAGAGTTTGGGACATGTTATTCCAGGGTCCAAACTCCCTAGCCCTAATACTGAAGATACTGCTTAGGTTATAGACCTTGTTGTTGAAAATTTGTCCCGATGCAAGAATCTGAACAGGTTTCGATACCTGAAATACCACTATTTGGCTACCTGAATCTGCACTGGAACCCTCTGAGAAGATAATACTGCTGATACTGCAAATCCTGCATGACCCAAGTGTACAAGAATACTTATAAACAATAATAATCATCAATAATAATAATGAATAACAAATAATAATAAGTAATAATACTAGAAAATGATAATAGATATAAATAATAATCATCAATAATAATAATAATAACAAAAATTATTAATACCAGACTTCCAAGGTATAGGCTACTAGGCTTCATGCACAATTTGGGGTATGAACCATCACTCACACACACAATCCCTAGGTATTTACCTTAAACCCCAAACACCCTAAAGCCTAAACCCTAAACTTGGGTTTCCAGGGATGGCTGACTGAACAACTGCGCAGTGCGCAGACGGTTTAGGGTTCAGGGTTTAGGGTTCATTTTAGGGTTTAGGGTTCCGGGTGTGGGGTTTAGGGTTCAGCGTTTAGGGTCTTAAGCTTCAGGGTGAACCGGGTCCCTCCAATGTAATTTTTTCTCGCGGCTTGGTATGCTTTTTGGCCAGGGTTCTTATGAGGGCCACTGAAAACTTACTACAGTTTAGGGTTTAGGGTTTAGGGCCTAAACCCTAAACCCTTTGAGGGGTCCAGGTAGGGTTTAGGACGACCTCCGACGGGCTCCGACCGTTTTGGTTACCCCTAAAACCCTAAACCCTGCAATCTTTCCCTGAGGGTCCAAGTACCTAATAATTAGGTACTTGGGTTTTGGGTAATAGTTATAATTACAAGTTTTGGGTAAGTATATGATTATTAGGTACTTGGACCCTTAGGGTTTGTTTTCATAAGAACTAAGCCGGGACAGGGAGGTGGCTTAAAGATGCTCAGGCAGCTGTTAGACCCAGGAAGGAGGAGGATGTTTCGCTGGTTCATTCCAAATCTAGGTAGGTATAGAACCCCAACCCTAAACACTGAACCCTAAAGTAATGTTCTCTATAAAAAGAAGTTCTGAAAGATTGTAGGATATGAGCTGGCTATAACTTGGGGTTGTGCCCTACCTGGCCCTACATTTCTTGCTGGTTCATGAGGCCTATAGTAAGTCCTTCTACCCCGAGAGATCACCCGACTTACAACTTGGAGGCAACCTATACAAGTCCAGTAAGGCGGGATTATATGGCGTATCCCCCTTAATAAGCCCTATATTAGTCCCATATATAATCCCCTATATAACCCCCTTTTAAGGAGTTTAGACTATGGTTCATATGTGGTAGTTTCCCTAACTGAGGGGACACCAATGTAGACCCCCAAATGCTGTAATCCCCATTCTAAGGATCCCGCAAAGGTACCCCGCCGCCCCAATTTTGGGCAAACCCCCATGTAGTTTTACACTCTATAAACACCCAAACCCAAAGTACCTAGCCAGTTATAAGTAGCCTAAACCCCTAGACCCTAAACCCCGAACCCGAAACCCTAATCCCTAACCCCTAAGCCAACCTTCAGCTCAGCAAACGGCAAAATGACTACATGCCCAGCTCTGGTTGTCTATTTGCAGGTCTGGGTTTCGGGGTTTAGGGTGTTGGGATTTCGGTTTTGAGGTTTAACCCTAAACCGGGGTTTAGGGTTTTGGTGTTTAGGGTTTAGGGGCTACAATTTGACTACAAGTACCGCGAATCTCCAAGCATGATATTATGGCAGCTGGCCTTGTTTTTTAGCTGAACCGGCGTCAGGCTTGTGTGGATACCTCGCATTATCATCCTCTGGAGCCGAAACTCAAAACCTTGAAGCCCTAAGCTCTACCTGGACCCCAAAGGTATGTATAATAATGGCCTCTATGGCTGTTATTATGGGTTTAGGGCCATTATTTTACAAATTTTAGGGGTTTAGGTAAACCCCAAACCCTTAGTCCCATTATCATGGGTTTAGGGCTATTATTTTACATATTTTAGGGGTTTAGGTAAACCCCAAACCCTTAGTCTCGAAGCCCCCATCCCCCTGTCGCGTCGCATGAGGCTCCAAGTACTAGCCCGCAGTCAAGCATATGCCCCATAAGTCCCCTGATATGGTCATACTTCGGATAGAGGCACCAGTTTTACCCGGATTGCACGTGCCCTGAACCCCCGCGTACGGATCCTTAAGCTCCCAAAACCTCAACCGCCGAAATCCTGTTCAAAAATCCGCTAAACCCTAAAACTTAAATCCTAAACCATAAATAGCCACACTTGCCAACCAACTGAGGATCCGTAAGTCCAAGTATCTAATATTCATATGCTTACCCAAAACCTGTCCTATAATTACTATTACCAAAACCCCAAGTACCCAATTCTTGGGTACATGGACCCTAGACCCCTAAGTACCTACTATTGGGTACTTGGACCCTCTGGGAAACTGAGGATGTCCTCCTTGAACTTCGGAGCACTCGCGAGCTCGTACTTCCTGAGGATTGAACCGTTCGAAAAAAGGTTGTAGGTATCAGGGTTTAAGGGTTTAGGGTTCTGGAGGGTCCAAAGTACCCAACATAGCCGGGGCTTAGGCACCAAAATATGACTCTGAATGGTTTTGGGGATCATGAAGCTCCTCTGTTTGTGTACGCGGGGTTTCTCAT